ACTTTAATTAATTAAGTTCAATCTTTCTATTTTACATACAAACTATGAAATACTGGCAAAAATATATACAAAATGTAAATACACCTTAGAAAATGTTTGCTTGCTTCTGTGTTTTGAGTGAAGTGCTCCCATGCTTCTCTTCAATGTATAGGTTTTTTTTATATATATATATATATATATATATATAATTACTACATGCAGAGCTTTACTGGCATTTGATTGGATGACAAATGTCCATGGACTGCAGGCTTTAACTAGGTGAAATGCTCCAGAACAGTTAAAAAAGGGGGCTGACATGTGATGTCCATCCATTGTAATGGACACAGGGTCTGAATGGGATAAGAAGTAGTGCATAGCGTTAGCATTAGCAATTGCAATGGGTTCGATTCAAAGACAATGCATGAACTGATAAAATGTATGTGATATATGTCGCTTTGGATACAAGTATCTAAAAAATGCATAAATGTAAAAAAAAAAGTAGTAATAGGCAGTAAATACACACTGCGTATTATTTAGTAACTAGTATTCCATCCAGCACGGAGGCAATGACTCAACTCTGTGTGTGCTCCTGTCTCTTTAAATCTCTTCGGCTTTTCCCGGAGAGTCTCGGTGAGGTTCGCTGTCAGAACCGCTGCTGCAAAGAGGGCAGTGACCGTATTTTTGCAGTTATCTATCATTTCTCGGGTTAAGTGGGAGCTGTGTCATATTAAAACACGTTTACGCCTGTGAAGTGAAGCAACCTGCCTCTCCACAAATGCAAGCTATTAAATGCGTGGTGGTCGGCGACGGGTAAGTAGTGTTTTTGGGAGCTGATAGAGCATCCTTGGAAAACCCGTGTTGGTTATTGAAATGCATTGATGCCTAGTTCTGGCCTGTGCATTTTATCGTTTGCTTAACGAAATACCGTCTATTTGATCATAAGGATGTTCGTGTTGTATGCAGAATGCATGTAAAAAAACTAAAATATCAATCTGTATTACTATTAAAATAGACGCATCGTAAAAAAAATGATTGTTTTATGTCTTCTTGTATTATTTTGAATCACTGATGCACGTGCCGCTTTCAGTATACGTTTGTGTATTAGACATGAAATGAAGAGGCTTTGAACGGTAATATGTCGTTTTTGTTCACTGTAGTCAGGGAGTGAGTGTATTTAGCAGGGTGTTGTACTACTGACCCATGTTGAATGGCAAAAGCCTGAAGCAAGAACCGCTATGGTTACCACTCCCTCACGAGTGTGCACGAGAAGTGTGTGTGGCGCGCGTCCATGTGAGCGAGTTTCCCTGCTATGGGAAGTCCGACTCGTTTAAAGAATCGGTTCTTTTGAAGAATTGCTATTATTTTATAGGCACACACGTTGCTCGTGTGTACTTTGAGTCATTTACAGTCTTTTTTGCTTTGTTATTCGTAATTGATGCGAATTCATATTCTAAATGAGTAAAAGGCGTTTTTTCAATGCCCATTTACATTGTAGAAAAAGTTTCCATATATAACGAGGATTCATAATTTATAATATTTTATTTTAAAATCAACACCATATTACATGTTTTTGGGTGAGTTTCATTTAAATGGTTGTATTATTATTATTATTTTTAATTTGAATCGGACGTGTCTGAAAAGAGTTCGCCGGTCAGTGAATCATTCGAAACGCTTCGTGAACGAGTCCTTCATCTGACTCAGAAGAACGATTCTTTCTCTGTCGGTGTGTTTCATTGGAGTGTGTGTGTGGTTTCCCTCAGGCGAATGTGAAACTGGGACAGGGTCTGTCACTATCTGACATACAAACACCCTTATAAAGAGCACACAAGCAGCAGTAACTACCTTTGCGTGATGCAACCTTATTTATGATATAACATTTATGACCTTTTCAGCATTACGTCCTCTCCATCTATGAGTTTTCTTTGAATGCACCTCAGAAATCCCTAGTTTAGCTGTCTCTTGTGCTTTCCCCAGGGCGGTGGGTAAGACCTGTCTGCTCATCAGCTACACCACAAATGCCTTCCCTGGAGAGTACATCCCGACAGTGTGAGTAGCCTATATAGTGTGCATATGCTGGAATTTGGTGTGGAAATCATTTAGATGAGATATATATTTGATACGTCAGGTCAGGCTTTTATAGCTCATATAGTATGATACAGTGGAATATGAAGCAGATACGTATATAAAAAGTATATAAACATCAGTTGTCACTATCTGCCAATAATGTCTTAGAAAGATGATAGTTTTATGATCAAAGCTCTGTAGGTTTAAAACATATAATGCAATGCAATACAATGATGATTGAGAGATATAAAGACAAATAAACCTTTAAAAATCATATTTGATACTTGCATTTTAACACGATATTTAAAAATAAATAAATAATGTGCAGATAATTTAGTAAACCTAAGTTGCTTCAGTCCATTAATTGTTGATCCTGAAATATTATTAACAATATAAAAGTTTATTCTTACGTTTACTTTGTAAAATTATGTAAAGATTTCACAGAAAAAAGACCTGAAGCTGGGTTTGTTTGTTTTTTTGTTTTTTGCTAACCAATTATTTCCTTAGTGTTGAAGATGATTTTTTGTATAAGTTGATTATATTTTTAACTTAGTTGTGGCTGACCACTCGCTCATATGGGATGATTTATTCGCCCTCACTGGTGATCTGTGGACATGAAGAGCGTGTGACAGACAACATTGATTTGCATTTCAATAAGACAATTAGTTGACCATTCTAAAGATCTAATGAACTGTATCCTGATGCTTCACAGAGAGATATTCTAGAAATGTGAGCCGATCCACTCAATGACAATCTGGAATGTATTTCTGAGTTATGGGTGTATTGTTAATGTTAGCATTAAGTCTGTGCATTTTTTAGGTTTGACAACTACTCTGCCAATGTGATGGTCGATGGCAAACCAGTGAACCTTGGCTTATGGGATACAGCAGGACAGGAAGACTATGACCGCCTCCGTCCCCTCTCGTACCCGCAGACGGTGCGTGACTTTTTTAATACTTTATTTATTAGAGTTCAGATTAACTGCAATAAGACAATTTTAAGCAAAATGGTTGAAAAAACCCACTAGCAATGTGACATAATTGCTTATTACTTTTGACCAATAGGTGGTGCTGACACCAAATTGATCTGGTGTAGTCATTGTTGGGTGACGATGTCATGCATAAAGTTTGGTGTCAATATGTCAAAGCTTTGCAGAGATACACCCTAAAAGGCAGGTTGGCTTCATGCCATCAAATTCGCTGATGTGGTAAATGAAAATCGGTTTGTCTATCAACATGAAATCCATAAGTTTTATGGTCCGAAGATGATCTAAGTTGAATTTGGTGAAAATCGGACCGAATTAAAAATTGCGGGGAAAATGTAATGAAGGAAAATGACATCATAGGGTGAAATTTTGTTTCTAGCCATTACGGTTCAAAAGTTCTTATCAGAAAAGTGAATGCAACTTTGGGCAACTGGTGGTTAGGGTTACGGGTAAAAAAATAAATAAAATGTACACTTACATTTGCCAAAGTTGCATGTGGCAAATGTAATGTTGCTTTCCATTTATTACTTAAATCCCACTTGAAGTACTTCATACCACAGCAAGAATTACTAGCTTAAATGATAAAGTTCAAATATTATTTAACGCAAATTAACAGTCAGTAAAAAAAAAAAAGTTTAAATACACTGATTACAAGCATAGATATACAATATAACAAAGTAATAAATAAAGTAAGGTCTACACTGTTGTGTTCACTGTATAAATCACTGAATATAGATTAATCTTTGTATATAGATAACTCTACAGGTGGTGTAATTTTTCTAAATATTTTAGAAACGGGGACCTTGTTTCATGAAACTTACATTTTGACATCTATATTCAAATATTCTATATTAATCTATATTCTATATTCAAATTTAAAATATTTATTTTAGATTGTAATAATATTTAACAATATTACTGTTTTTATTGTATTTTTGATCAAATAAATGCAGCCTTGGTGAGCAAAAGAGTCAAAAACATTCAAAGAAATCTTAAAAACCTGAAAGGTAGAGTATAGGGCTCACAATTTTGAGGGGAAAAATGTAATTGCAAATTTTCTGAAAAAAATGCTATTTAAAAAAAAATCCAGGTTTGCTGTGCTTGTTTGTACAGCTACAGAAATATGACCAAAGTTTTATGATTATATATCAACATGGCTGTAAAATAATGACATCTCTTTTGTGCCATCAAATTCTTATAATAGTCTCATGAATGTCTGCAGAACAACAGGAAGAGGTTAAATAATTAAATTAGAGAACAAAAACAGCTCGTCGAATGATTTCCCCCTATGTTTTCTCTACAGGATGTGTTTTTAATATGCTTCTCTTTGGTGAGCCCAGCATCCTTTGAGAACGTCCGTGCTAAGGTTGGTGCAACTTATTTCGTGGTTGTTGTTGAATTCAGGCAGAACAGTGAATCTTTACATACTATAATGTAATATAAGACTATTTCCCTATGCTCCAGTGGTACCCTGAGGTGCGACACCACTGCCCCAACACACCCATCATCCTGGTGGGCACCAAACTGGACCTGCGAGATGATAAGGACACCATAGAGAGGCTGCGGGACAAAAAGCTGTCGCCCATCACCTACCCACAGGGCCTGGCCATGGCCCGAGAGATCGGTGCGTAGAGAGAACGGCACACTCGCTTGATTTATGTATGACAGCGGGGAAACTGTACTTCCATTACCGTAGGCATGTTTCTATAATGAGTTATTGAGCTGGGGTAAGTGAGTGGGACGCTGGTTATGCTGTCATATGTTGGAGTTGCTGAGTGGAGTGGGCGGCACAAAGATGCCAATTGTCTTACCGGTGGCGGTCCAGCATGAGCCGGGGACGTGGGGGAGGAGCGGCAGCCGGGGAAAGATGTTCAGAAAACAAAATGGCCTTTCCTTGAGAAGGGCTCTTTGTGGTGTTGGTCTGCATGCTGCAAGTCTCCTCCGAGTGAATGTTTTCTCAGAGCCTGCCAGAAACAGTAAATGGCTGATTTATGCAAGACCAGTGTGTCAGGAGTTGATCCTAGTGTCGTATTCACCACACACGCTGTTGAGAATGCTTTTTGAAAGAAAGAAATTAAGGTTTTTATTCAGCAGGGATGCATTCAATTCATCAAAAGCAACAGTGAAGTCGTTTTTAATGTTACGTTTTTAATTTCAAACTTTCTATTTACTAGAGATTCCTGAAAAATATGTATCATGATTTCCACAAAAATAGTACACAGAACAACCGTTTTCTACATTGATGATAATCAGAAATCATCATTTTTGAGTGATTTCTGAAGGATCATGTGACGCTGAAGACTGGCGTAATGATGCTGAAAATTCACCTTTGATCACAGGAATAAATTACGTTTTACTATATATTCAAATAGAACATTTTTATTTTAGATTGTAATAATATTTGACAATATTACTGTTTTTATTGTATTTTTGATCAAATAAATGCAGCCTTGGTGAGCAGAAGAGTCAAAAACATTCAAAGAAATCTTAAAAACCTGAAAGGTAGAGTATAGGGCAGCACAATTTTGAGGGGAAAAATGTAATTGCAATTTACATTTTAAAATGGTTTGCTGTGCTTGTTCGTAGAGCTACACAAATATGACCAAAGTTTTATGATTATATATAAACATGGCTATAACATAATGACATAAATAAAGTTATAAATTAAGAAATATTACTGTTGTAATACTGCACAGTAAAATATAAATGATATAATATTTAACAATATTACAACTCTAATATTCATGGCTGTCATCACTTAATTTCTTAATTTTCAGATGTTAAACCATCAAAATTTTTTTTTGAAAACCACAGTAAGCCCTTAAATCTCCTCTTTTGTTGATAAGTATTTAAAGTGTTTCATTTTCTCTTTATTTGAAAGGGGATAGTGTACATTAATCAACATTAAAACAATCTATATGTACCCGAATTAGCTCAAAAGTGCCAATTAGCTCGGTAGTCCCCCAGCAGGGTGGATAGCTCACTTTGAAATTAATTTTTGGTATGTTTTATCTTGCCTCAAGGGCATCCAAGATGTAGGTGTCTTTGTTTCCGCAGTATTTTCAATTTTGATATTTTTAGGTCAAAGCGTTCTTGACTGTCAGTCATATAATGGAGGTCTATGGTCACCACCTCAAAGAGCATGCACAGAGAAGTCCAAATTAAACATGATTTAATGACTCGTAAATGTAAGTACACATTGATGGCCTAAGACACGAAACGAGCGGTTTGTGTGAGAAAACGAACACTATTTATACCGTTTTTACCTCTTGTAACCACAGCTACGTCTAAGTGATCTGAGGGCGCGGGCGCTTCGGTCTGTGCAAAAGCTGGAAGTGGTGTCTTGCGCGTGTTCGTCAATCATTGTTTACAGAGAGATTTCAGAAGTGTTACTTTTCACTGTAAAGATCTAAATATATTTAGATGTATCAGGAAATCACAATGGAAGACGATTTCCTGTATATCAACGTTGTATAGCGCAGACCGAAGCGCTCGCGGCCTCAGATCACTTGGACGTGGCTGTGGTTACAAGAGGTAAAAACGATTTAAATACTGTTCGTTTTCTCACACAAACCGCTCGTTTCGTGTCTCAGGCCATCAATGTGTACTTAAATTTACGAGTCATTAAATCATGTGTAATTTGGACTTCTCTGTGCATGCTCTCTGAGGTGGTGACCATAGACCTCCATTATATGACTGACAGACAAGAACGGTTTGACCTAAAAATATAAAAATTGAAAATACTGCGGAAACAAAGACAGCTACATCTCAGGCGCCCTTGAGGTAAGCTAAAACATACCAAAAATTTGATTTCAAAGTGAACTATCCCTTTAAAGAGTCATTTCGAAGTATTTATTTTGATTAATTGTGCAGCCCTAGAACTCTCTGTACTCTTCTGAGTAGAGCAAGCATCCAGAAAACACTCACTTTATCATATTGAAGGTTGTGTTTCTGCCGCAGGTGCTGTGAAGTACCTGGAGTGCTCGGCCCTGACCCAGCGAGGGCTAAAGACTGTGTTTGACGAGGCCATCCGCGCCGTCCTCTGCCCTCCACCCGTCAAGAAACGCGGCAAGCGCTGCACTCTCTTCTGAGCAGAAGCCATGACAATCCCTGGCACCCAAACCCACACACAACTACAATATTTTTAATCAGCGTCCTGGAAAACATATTGTACTTCTCTCACAGGTTGGGTGACAGCCGTCCAGGAAGTTCTAATGCACATCACATGTATATGAACCATTGGCTAGAAGCGTCCAGTCGGAGGGAAACCTCGCGGTAGATTGTTTTTCGCGGCCCAGAGATGTAATATTCCATTTCATATTGTTTATATGAGAAGTTTTAGTGGTACAGTGTAATTGTTGACATACTGTAAGGAAGTGTTTCTTGGTGTCGTAAAGGAAGCGTTTCAAAGAAATGGGAAAGTTCTGTACAAAGCTAACCATTCGCAGTATTAGCATTCCTGCCGGTGTTAAAGTCAACATGTAAGGAAAATCGGTAACACTTTACTTGAAGGGGTGTGCATAAGACTGACATGACACCTTCATAATCATGACATGACATATGTGTTGAATATGAAGTAGTGTTTATGCATGTTTATGACAACTGTCATTAAGTGTCTTTCACTCAGTTATGACATTTTGAATGCAAATTTGACTTTGTTTAAGATGTCGACATCTTGACATAAACCAATACATCATAACCTGTCAGTGTCTGTCATGACAACTTGACATAAATGAAGTTAAACTGTCATGTGGTTGGCTGTCATGAGGCATTATAACTGTCATGAATATTGTTACAGTGGTATTAATTGAATTTGTCATTAAAAAGTTATAATGGCTTCATGACAGCCAATGTCAAAACCAACCAGCTGACAGTTTAATGTAATGTTAACCAATAAAGCTAGCCCTCAAACCGTATTCACTTTATAGCCCTTAATCCTGTAATTGTGGACACATGTGGGCACAGAGGACTCGGGTGTGATTCTAATTTTTATTTATTATAAACGTTATATCACTGTCTTCGATAAAGTTTTGTCTATCCATTTATGGTGGGTTTTTTTTTATTTTGGGGGTATTTTTGAATTTATTTACTTCAAAAAGTACCATATTTTCTATTTAAATTATGCTTATTTTTATGTTTTATTTTATTTATTTATTTTAACTACATTAAAATATCATTCCAATGAGTTCTTAGAGCTAAAACTTAAAGATGAAGTGACTTTGCTGTCACCCGGTGTCTTATTTTGGCTTATTTTATAATGCTTTAAATTACAGTTGCCCATTTTTGACCCAAATACAAGATTAAGGAGTTTTTTTTTTTTTCACCCGCTTAACATTGTAGAACTGAGTCAAAAAAAAATAATAGTGTGTGTTCAGGAGGCAAACTTAGGAAAAGTAGCCAAGTCTTGTACCGCTCAGATCAAGGGAAGTATTTTTTTAAAAATAAATCAAAACTATTTTGCCCACATTTGTCCAGAATACGGTTTTAGGGTTAAGTTTGATAATTAATCTGCTATGTCATGTTTATGACTGGTTGTGTTGTCTTAGTAATCAAGTCAAGTTGTCATGATGTATTGGCTTGTCAAACAATGTCATATTTGCATTCAAAATGTCATAACTGAGCAAAAGACACTTAATGACAGTTGTCACAAACATGCATAAAACTTCCTTCATATTCATACCTTATGTGATGTCATGATTATGAAGGTGTCATGTCAGTCTTATGCACACCCCTTCAAGTAAAAGGCTGTAAAACAGGATATTCAATGAGGTTGGGATTGTGAAAATTGTGTAGTTTTGTAGGTTGCATTGTGATGAAGGAATAACGTGCATCTGTGAAGTGTGTGAGCTATAACTGTTTGATTTCATGTTGACTTTAAAGCCTCATGCAGTTATGAACACTAGATCTTTTCTTCTTCTTGGCCATTCCAAACACTGGAGAAGCAAACTGTGAACATTGTGTCTTTGCTTTTATGTCGATACAAACTAATGGATGATAATACACTGTTTTTGGATTTTCTTTCTTTTCTAGTTTTCTATGTACGGACAAACCACTTTGATTCTGATCTGTGACGAAAGGGTTTTATTGTACAGCTTCACAATCCGAAACCTCCGAGCTCTGTTTGAACAAATGCCCATCCGCAGGCGTGTACGAGTGACTTGCATGCCACAACCAGGAGCCCGAATGTCTCTTTATCGAAGGACACGCATGGGCATTTGTTCTTGATCGTTCCCACTTCCGAAACCTTGTTAATACGTGTCTGCATGTGGCGTGAGTGTGGGCATTCGTCCGTGACGTGATTGGCTGTCGGGTGTGAGTCGTCTAAATCGGTGCGGCGGCACTTCCTTTCTCTCACCTAACTTTGTAAATAACTCTCAAAATGGACAAAAAAAAAAGATGATGATCTTCACAGCTGCCAAAAGACATTTCCATGATGTAAGATAGTATATTTACAAAAATGTTTTAGATGAGGAATGCATTAATTAATAAATCTATTCATGTTTTACCCTTACCCTTTTGACCCTGTGCTTTAATTCATTTTAATAAAATACCCTAAAAGTATCATGCATATGCTTTTTTGCATTATATTTCAAGTCTTCCGAGGCTGTTTGTGAACTATTACTTAAATATGCTTATTTCAGTACTTTAAACGTTAAGTGCTTTGTCTATTTTTCAAGTAAGCAAAGTTCCTTGTTGCTTGAGGCCTTTTTTAATGTAAATTAGGGCTGTCAAACGATTAATTGCATCCAAAATAAAAGTTTGTGTTTACATAATATATGTTGGTGCACTGTGTATATATATATATATATATATATATATATATATATATATAAATACACACACATGCACGTATATTTAAGAAAAAAAAATATTTATGTATAAAATATTTATTTTACATATAATATAAATTATATATAAATCTATATACAATATATACATGAAAATATTTATTAAATATATATACATGCATGTGTGTGTATTTATATATGAAGAGTTCAGATGCAAAAGCCTCTAAATGCCATTTGAAATTTTCTTCTTTAATGATGATTTTTATCAAACTTGTTTATTTAAGTTCAGTAATTTCACTTAAATAACAATTAATAGGTAATCATCATTGCCATTTAAGTGAAATCACTGAACTTAAATATACAAGCTTGATAAAAATGATCATTCTAGAAGAAAATTTCAAATGGCACTTAGAGGCTTTTGCATCTGAACTCTTCATATATATATATATATATATATATATATATTATAATTATACACGGTGCACCAACATATATTATGTAAACACAAACTTTTATTTTAGATGCTATTAATTGCGATTAATCGTTTGACTGCCCCAATGTAAATAAATAGCAATGCATATAAAATATATACATTTATTTGTATATAAGTATATCCATATACAGTACACTCATGTAAAATGATATATACCATCTTAGCTGCTTGATCATCGCAAAATATAAACTATATTATAACACAGCTCTTATCTGTAAATTGGACTATAAGGCGTGAAGATATGTGCAAGTGAAAAGCACTACACCAATAACACCAACATGACTTGAAGTCCAACATTTGGTCAGTATATGTGGATTGAATCACTACACGAGTGTGAACGCTGATCTCTTCTGGTGGTTCATGATACTACAGGACATAAATCCACAGTATCGTTATGGCAACTAGAACTAGCTAGAAGGAGAGACCTTCACACTCTCATGAGGACCATATGAAGTCAATAGAGCAGCAGCTGTTAAAAGCTTCAGTTTAGTTTCATATCTTGCTAATTACGCAAGCTCGTCTAGTTCGTTACAGTTCGTTACATCAAAAGGAACAGAATGTCTGACATCATTTACTCGCACTCAAAATTCCAAACCGGATTTTCTTTATTCAGTGGAACACCAAAGCCGATATTTAGTGGACTGTTCATGCTGCTTGTTTCCATACAGTGGAAACTCAAAAAATGATAAAATGGTGGCACTATAAGAGCAAACTACTAACTAATGCTCCGTACTCCATGATAGCTTTGTGTGAAGAACACAACCAAACCAACGAGGAAGAGTAAATTATGACTGTGTGTTGGAACTGAAACGCATTTCTTCAGGCTTATTCACCTTTGCTTGATGATGTTAGTTTTTAGCAAGCCAGAAACCCCCCGTCCACGGGCAGGATCACTCCATTGGTCATGGCACTCTTATCGCTGAGGAGGAAGAGGATGGAGTTGACCACATCCTCCACTTCTAAACAACACAGTAAGAAAGACACTGGAGCATTACTGTATTACAGACACACAACTATGGTTGTGGACAGACATTGACATTCACAAGCCTCAGAGTTTCAGAGTCTGCCACTAAAATGTGCTTACACAATCTTTGCTCAATCCCAAAATGCAGAGAGAGGAGTATTAAATAACCCAACAGAAGAACAACATGAGTGAACGGACAGCACTGCCAGTGTTTAGTTGTTGAGAAATGCATTCTCATCGTTGAAATCAACTTAAATTTACTGAAACAACTAGGTGAAACACAAGGAAAGAGGAATGGAGATTTGACCTCCTGTTATAGTGACCTACAAACACAGGCTTACCTGCAAATTTGCCCAGTGGGATCCGTGATGTCATGCTCTTGGCCTTTTCTGGGTCGCTCCATCCAATCTTTCCCATTTCTGTCATCACCACAGTCGGGTTCACTGAGTTCACTCTTATCTGTCGAGGTCAGATTACATAAAACATGCTAAACTCACATGAAAGATGCACATCTGTCAATCAAGACAATAAACACTTTCATTTTAATATATATATATATATATATATATATATATATATATATAGCAAAACTGGCCAAGATTTGATTTTAGAATAATAATTTTTTTAATCACATTTAACAATCAAAGAACTATAATGATAAATTATATTATGAATTTGGTATATTTTTATTATTATTTAAAAATAATATAATAATTTATGGTAAATATGTCTACCAATAGCTACAAACCAGCATTTGGTCTTAATAACAACGACAATAATAATAATACAATTAATTAATAAAATAAATAATATCAAAAATATCAAAAGCAGAAAATACAATAAAACCATGCAACACATTTTGATGTATTTACTGTTCTAATATTTTTAAATTATTTCAATTCAATACAAATTATATTAAAATATACTACTAATAATAATAATACTAGCTTAATTTAGACTAAATCTGCAAGCCTTTGTGTATTTACTGCTTATTTTATTTTAATTTAATATTAATTCTAATAAAATATTTATTTATATATATTAGAATAATTATTAATTATTATTTATGTATTTAATGACTAAAAAATACATTTATATATATATATAATTTATTTATTTATTTTTACTTATTATTATTCATAATATTCATCATAATTCACTATTCATGTAAAGAGTTAAAAAATGATGTCCACATTGTTCATTAACGAGAAATGTAGAAATGTTTAGATGACAGGCGTTATGACGTCAATGATTTCAATTAGTTTTATGTTCCTAGAGCAAACCAATTTGTCTACTAGTCAAAATCCATACTCTGTTAATATGATCAGGAAAAGCAATAAGCTGGGGAATATTAACACACGTCCCTAATCCACTCCATCATTTATGGCAATGCACAAACAACTCATAAATGTGCATTATTATCTGTTAGTAATTACACTAACTCCTCCAAGAATTTGCAAGGCGGTTGGAAACACACCCAAACATTTAATCTCCCATTTGAGACGTTCAGCAGCACACAGATTTATGTGTTTTAAAGAGGGTGGTTGTTGATTGGCTTGAAGCATCCTGGCATGACTGATCATCGCAATGTACGGTTTATTTTCACAAAGCTATAAACAACAAAGTACCATGAGCTTATTGATTGATAGATTTCACAAACATGATCAGTGATTAACCTGATGCGGCCCCAACTCCAGTGCCATCACTCTGGTCAGCATGTCCAGCGCTCCTTTCGTGGCACCTTCACAAAACACAAACACATTCAAGGTTCATCCAAAACTTGGACTTGGTTAAGAATTTAAGAGAGTTCTCTAGTAATGCAAGGGGGAAAAGGCCATAAACGTCTGGAATACAAGATTCTGAATGGTCAGAAATTAAATTCTGTGGTCAGAAACTTTTTGTGTAATGACCCTTAAAATTGTACAATCAACCATCATCCCAGAAATGAATTTTCTACATAGCTGTGCTACTTGATGTCTCTCGAAAACACAGTAATAAAAACTTAAATCCATGTATTTATTTATAAGTAAAGTCAGTTGATCATAATCACAAAATGAACTCCTGAAAGAGCATCAATGTCTTTTTCTCTATATTAACCAGCATTATTATTAGTGTACATCATTACATAAAAATCCTCCATCAGCATCTACTTTTGCATATGCATTTATGAGACATCTATAATAAGTTTACATACACCCAAATAATCAGCTGTAATCGATCTGATTTGATTGACCTCGATTAGAAGAAAATTTGATGGGGCGGACTCGAAATAAGATAATAGACTCGTTAATTCAGAAAAACAGAGCAAAAACATTTTCCCATGAAAAATTATCTTGTAATTCTGAGATAATTAACTCGTTAATTCAAAAAACAGAGCAAAACTTTTTTCCATGAAAAATTATCTTGTAATTCTGAGATAATTAACTTATTAATTCAAAAAACAAAGCAAAACTTTTTTCCATAAAAAATTATCTTGTAATTCTGAGATAATTAACTCGTTAATTCAAAAAACAAAGCAAAAACTTTTTTCCATGAATTAACTCGTTAATTCAGAAAAACAGAGCAAAAACTTTCTCATTAAAAATTCTCTCGTAATTCTGAGATAATTGACTCGTTAATTCAAAAAAACAGAGCAACAACTTTTTCCCATGAAAAATTATCTTGTAATTCTGAGATAATTAACTCATTAATTCAAAAAAACAGAACAAAACTTTTTTCCATAAAAAATTATCTTGTAATTCTGAGATAATTAATTTGTTAATTCAAAAAACAGAGCAAAACTTTTTTCCATAAAAAATTATCTTGTAATTCTGAGAATTAACTTGTTAATTCAAAAAACAAAGCAAAACTTTTTTCCATAAAAAATCATCTCGTAATTCTGAGATAATTAACTCGTTAATTCAGAAAAACAGAGCAAACACTTTTTTTCCATGAAAAATTAACTCATTAATTCAGAAAAACAGAGCAAAAACTTTTTCCCATGAAAAATTCTCTCGTAATTCTGAGATAATTAACTCGTTAATTCAGAAAAACAGAGCAAACAGTTTTTTCCATGAAAAATTAACTCATTAATTCAGAAAAAACAGAGCAAAAACTTTTTCCCATGAATAATTATCGTGTAATTCTGAGATAATTAACTCGTTAATTCAAAAAACAGAGCAAAACTTTTTTCCATGAAAAATTATCTTGTAATTCTGAGATAATTAACTCGTTAATTCAAAAAACAAAGCAAAAACTTTTTTCCATGAATTAACTCGTTAATTCAGAAAAACAGAGCAAAAACTTTCTCATTAAAAATTCTCTCGTAATTCTGAGATAATGAACTCGTTAATTCAGAAAAACAGAGCAAAAACCTTTCCCATGAAAAATTATCTTGTAATTCTGAGATAATTAATTCGTTAATTCAAAAAAACAGAGCAAAACTTTTTCCATAAAAAATTATCTTGTAATTCTGAGATAATTAACTTGTTAATTCAAAAAACAAAGCAAAAACTTTTTCCATGAATTAACTCGTTAATTCAGAAAAACAGAGCAAAAACTTTCTCATTAAAAATTCTCTCGTAATTCTGAGATAATTAACTCGTTAATTCAGAAAAACAGAGCAAACACTTTTTCCATGAAAATTAACTCATTTATTCAGAAAAACAGAGCAAAAACTTTTCCCATGAAAAATGATCTTGTAATTCTGAGATAATTAACTCGTTAATTAAAAAACAGAGCAAAAACTTTTTTCCCATGATAAATGATCTTGTAATTCTGAGATAATTAACTCGTTAATTCAGAAAAACAGAGCAAAAACTTTTTCCCATGAAAAATTATCTTGTAATTCTGAGATAATTAACTCAGAAAAACAGAGTAGATTTTTTCTTCAAGTGAATGCAATATGCTTCTGTAGCACATGCAACGTTTCAGATTCATATAAATAAAACTTCCAGAATCTGAAATCTGTTTGGATTCCAACTGATGAAAATTAGTGCATGTTGTTGTACCTATTGTAAAAAAAAATGCACAAGGTTTTGTACAGAACGCTTCTCCCCCGGGTCCAATAGATAGGCCTGAGATAATGTTGCCGGTTGCATGAATGCGACAAATAAGATTAGACATGCGAGTTAGATTCGTGCACTCACAGTATACGGCGTGATCTTTCAGAGCGCACTGTGAGGCTTGACTCGAGACGTTCACAATGGATCCTCCAGTTCCTCTGGCCTTCATACCTCGAGCCACTATCTACAGTAAATGCACATTAAAAGTGTGTTAGCATTAATAAAACTCATTATGAAATCATAAAGCATAGGTTTGCTTTCTTCTTACTTGAGCAACATGAAGTGCAGCTTTCACGTTGACACTGAAAGACCTGCAAAAGCCATCACAAATGCAGTCTGACTGTTTTAAAACACAAATTATAGTGTGTGAGAGATATTTTAAAGCCTTACATGTCAAACTGATCTGGCGTGACTTCTAGGAAGGGCTGAAGAGAAGCGCAGGCTGCATTGTTCACCAGAAGATCCACCGGACCGACGTCTTTCAGCGCCTGAGCTGTGGCGTCCCAGTCCGACAGGTCCACACACACCGGCTTAATGGAGGGACACTGGGGATCAAACGCATTGTCAAAGATTGTCCATTGTCACAGTCCGGCTGAATGAGACCTTTAAAGCATAAAGGAGCAGTAGGGGTGCAGAGGAATGTGATGCATGCTGGAAAACAATAGATCCACAGGGTTTTGTCTCGGAGATGAGTTGGACCGTGACCGAGGGGTCAGTACCTCATGCACTAGGCTATCCAGGTCAGCCTTAGTGCGTGTGACAGCCGTGACCTCTGACCCACAGCGTGCCAGAGCCAGTGCCGTGGCCCGTCCGATCCCTACGAGGCATTGAGGTGAGTCAACGATCTGGTGTATCATCATTATACTTATCATAAAGTTTGAAAAACCACAAGCAGGTTATAAATGTGTGTTCTATGTCATAGATCAAAACGTGAAAATATTTAGAGGCTTTGTTCACCACAGACCTTATTTCAGGCGATTTAGCAAAAACCCATTCAAAAATCCCATAGGCTTTAGAGCGAGGGAACCGTAATGCTAAAATGCTAACTCACTTTCGCGTTTTGGCCTACAGAGTGACGTCGTAACTTCGGCACTCTATTTTAAAAAAAATTCCATAAAACTAAAATATTCCATAAAGTAGAAACAAAAACATATTTTTTTACTTGGTGACTTTAACCAACATCATTTTTTTTTGTGTGTGTGTGTGTGCAAATTTTTCCAAGAACACTCTATGGCAAATATCAGTTCATTAAATAGCTTATCGCTGTCACTCTCTTCCAGAGTCGTGATTCATGGAAAAGAGCGACCAGGACAATCTTCAGAATCTCTCCCTTGTTTTCCAAAGAATAAAAATAGGTCGTTTCGAACGGGTGATCAACTATAATTTTTCATTGTCCATTTACCTTTGCCAGCTCCAGTCACCAAAGCACGCTTTCCACTAAATGTTATTTCCATTTTCCTGCAGTCCAAGTTCAGCCCTTTTACAGTCACGCGAAACTGAAAGTACAAAAAGTTATTTTCATGCGGACATTTTATGCGAAAACAGATGCGCGGAAATGTAGCATAAAAGCTTCGAAAATACTTAAAATATGAAATACTTTACGTACCTCAGTTTCAATCTGATGTTTGTTTGAAAAGTCAGTGAACCGAGCGAAGGTCAGCTGAGCAAACTTTGTTTGTCACATGACCACTTTTACCTCAGAAAGTGTGGATGACTCGGTCAGTTAGTTAGTAATGACTACTATGTTCTACATACTGTAGTATGCATTATTCCTCCATGATATTGAATAATATTGGTTGGCTTTTTAGTAAGAACATGGGTTAATAAACTGAAGGGAATTTTAATTAAACCCTTGTTTACCTCAAGGGTTAAAATACTATGGAAGTCAATCGAGCCCATCAACTTATTTTGTCTTCTTCAGCAGAAGAAAAATCATACAGGTTGGAAACAACTTGAGAGTAAGTAAATAATGAGATCTTTTTTTAATTTTTAGGTGATCTATCCCTTTAAACCTGTCTTCGTATCTAATCCAATGTCATTTATTTTTGGGGCCCTCAACTGAAGACACAAATAAATATCTGTAAACTTGCATATTATTTGGTCTGAACTTTTTCTTTCACTTAAAAAGGAAAGTATGAAACATGTGGTTTTTCATTTAAACAACTATTTTATTCTACAATATAAAGATTAACTCATGATGGTAGAATAACAAAAATACTAAACAGTTCCTATATAAGGATCATTCAATTGCTAAAATGTCAAGAATTTAGAGCAAACGAGTTTGATAGTTCAGAGTCTTTCAGAATTCAGAGTAATTTTACATTAAAAAGTTTATTATTTATTGTGAATAAGCAACAATTTGAACATTTAGCATTTTATTTTTTTTTAGCATTTAACAATTTGAACAGTGAGCTTTTAACTGAATTATCTGCTGAAACTCCGTAGTTGGTCATTTATTATTTAAAAGCAACATTTTAATAAATTGATTTTGAAAATATGGGAGTTAATCAACATTTTTACACCCAGTGGTCTCAAGAGATGTAAATAATCCATGGAATAATAAATCAACTACTTTCCACGCAGGACATCTGAAGCATTACATCTTCTAAACCACAAGCGGTTGCATTACAGTAACAGACATCATGTTCAGACACTGGCACAAGCATAATAAATAAATTTATTAAAATGAAAATCACACTTTACAACATTAAGTCACCAGATTAAAAAAAAAAAAAAAAACATTCAACTGCAATAGCATTTGGTAGTGTCAATGAGCATGTTTATAAAATGTTTGTCACCGTTAAGGAAAGACAGAAAGCGTATAGTGTAGTTTTGGCATGTTAACGCAAACCACTGGCCTGCAGTGAGGAACGTGTTTGTGCAAATAACATTCGAACAGCACAGAAAACACATTTAAACAGTCATGTTTCGAATCATCACACACTAGTGTTTCAATGGAAATAATTCAAAAAGTTGTTTTCTACTAAATAAACCACTCTATTAAAATATGAATGGCAAGCAATGGATAAATTAACAAGATTTTGCAACAATTGCTTTTGGTCTGTATATTTTCAGTGGAGTTTAATTGCTCGACTACATCCGAGAGTTCCTGCCTGCACGTCCAGAGACATACTGAGTGTCTTCGGTCATCCACAAATCACAAACAGAGAAGAACATAAAGCTGAAGAGCATTGGCAATAGATGAGCTGATGGTTGCATAAATCTTGAAAACAAAATACTATAAACTGCATCAATACTGTTTTTCTCGTCCATGGAGGCGTTCATGAGATCATCTTGCACCCAAATTTATAGTATTGTGCAGGACATATTTATGGCCCTTAGGAAAAAGACAACTCTATAAAGATGATGTAAAAGCCACAAAAATGTGTGGATCAAAATCCCCTAGTAAATCTAACAGATAGCACAATCTTCCAGGGACTCATTATATGCAAATCAGTTGGCAAAAACACTATATTTCAGGACAACAATAAATTACAGCCACCCTGTTGCTCCATAAAAACACAAAAGTACCAAACAAACAAACACGTTGACTAGCTTCACCAACCAGCTGAGTTATTCGGAGAACTATTTTGGCATGAAGAGTTGTTTCCCAGCGGTCAGTGACGAGTCTTGCGTGGACACCACTCGGTGTCTGGGTAGAGCAGGCAGTGAACGCTTTTAAACCTGAAGAGAGAATGGCTGCTTAAAGTCACAATGAAATCAAAATAGATTTTTATATTTTTATAGAATATTGCAGTGTTTATAACATACATTCACCTAAAGGATTATTAGGAACACCATACTAATACTGTGTTCAGAACTGCCTTAATTCTACGTGGCATTGATTCAACAAAGCATTCTTTAGAAATGTTGGCCCATATTGATAGGATCGCATCTTGCAGTTGATGGAGATTTGTGGGATGCACATCCATTCATTCCACCACATCCCAAAGATGCTCTATTTCAGTGTTTCCCAACCCTGTTCCTGGCCGCACACCAACACTGCGCGTATTCTTTGTCTCCCTAATCAGACACACCTGATTCAACTCATCAGCTCATTAACCCATCTGATTATGAGCCGATGAGTTGAATCAGGTGTGTTTGATAAGGGAGACAAAGAATACGCGCAGTGTTGGTGTGCCGCCAGGGTTGGGAAACAGGGTTGGGAAACACTGCTCTATTGGGTTGAGATCTGGTGACTGTGGGGGCCATTTTAGTACAGTCAACTCATTGTCATGTTCAAGAAACGATTGGAGCTTTGTGACATGGTGCATTATCCTGCTGGAAGTAGACATCAGAGGATGGGGACATGGTGTCCATAAAGGGATGGACATGGTCAGAAACAATGCTCAGGTAGGCCGTGGCATTTAAACGATGCCCAATTGGCACTAAGGGGCCTAAAGTGTGCCAAGAAAACATCCAACACACCACCAACACCAGCCTGCACAGTGGGAACAAGGCATGATGGATCATGTTCTCATTCTGTTTACGACAAATTCTGACTCTACCATCTGAAATCGAGACTCATCAGACCAGGCGACATTTTTCCAGTCTTCAACTGTCCAGTTTTGGTGAGCTCTTGCAAATTGTCGCCTCTTTTTCCTATTAGTAGTGGAGATGAGTGGTACCCGGTGGGGTCTTCTGCTGTTGTAGCCCATCCGCCTCAAGGTTGTGTGTGTTGTGTCTTTGCTGCATACCTCGGTTGTAACGAGTGGTTATTTCAGTCAAAGTTGCTCTTCTATCAGCTTGAATCAGTCGGCCCATTCTCCTCTGACCTCGAGCATCAACAAGGCATTTTGGCCCACAGGACTGCCGCATACTGGATGTTTTCCCCTTTTCACACCATTCTTTGTAAACTCTAGAAATGGTTGTGCGTGAAAATCCCAGTAACTGAGCAGATTGTGAAATACTCAGACCGACCCGTCTGGCACCAACAATTGAACAGGTGTTCCTAGTTATCCTTTAGGTGAGTGTATATTAAATTATTTATCTGTGTCCATTTTATTTTAACCCTTCGGGTCGCCGATCACGCGGCGTGATTAAGTCACATGTCCAGTTTAAGACGAAGCATAAAAACAAAGTCACGTTGAGCGCTGCCGTCCACTTCTGTCCAAAGTGCTGACTTGAAACTCTATTTTACTTTTTGTTTAGTGTTGATAGACCAAGTAAAAACGGAGATATGATCATTTAAACTTTATATAAAAAATGTACGCGTATATTGACGTGTTCGTAAAAGAATGCAAGATGGGATGTCACAGACGTTGAACTTTGTCGGTTTTTGTCATAAAACTAAACGGAGAAAAATGTGTGAATCTGCTGACACATTTTACGGAATGAAGGAGGAGCCAACTGAGCAAAGACGCGAAACGTGAAACTTAAAGGCAGGAGATTTACGGAGTAGACAAAGAGAGACATATATACGTTATAGAGAGAGAGAAATTATTGCTAGTTTAAGTAGATTTTGAGAGTAGTTTAGGAGTGGTGTAGATAGTTTAGGAATAGTTTGGGTAGTTTAGGAGTAGATTAGATGAACTGTTTTGAGGAGTGGCACAGATAAAAAAAAACAACAACAAATAAACACACCTGATATTTGTTGTATATAGTTGAATGTATGGTTTGATTTTGTGTTCATTTGACCTTTTGTGTGGAATATTTGCACTATTGAGGAACCCCTCTTACTCAAGGAATGAAACTGAAAGCCCTGTAATGTAGCTAGCTGTGTAATTGTACATGAAGTGTTTTGTAGTTTCTAAGCAAAAAGAAAAGAAAAAACGCCTATTGCCACACCTGCTTTTAGCTGTATATAGTTTCATTTTATCTCAATTTTACCTTTTTTATGTTGTATTTGCACTATTTGGGAACCCTCATACTCTGGGAATGCAAGGCCTTAAATATAGCTCTCTGTATATTTGTGTGCACAATTTTTTTTTTTTTTTTTTAAGTGGCAAGGCTAAAATGAAAAAAAAAAAAAAAAAGCCTATGGCTACACTCGCTTTTTTTGTAAATCATATTTTTTTTGTATATAGCTTAATATCTGAATTTTACCTGTATATTTGACATTTACAACTTGTATTTACATTTTAAACCTTTTAAAATGCTTCACTGAGCATGTTTGTGTTTTTTGTAGTAGAAAAGCTTTAATATTTCTATTTGGATTTTGTGTTTTTTGTGTGATTTTGGGTCCACTATGTCGATACAGTACATCAAAGTAATAAACTAATTGTCTGGTGATATAGGGTGATGTTGCACTGAAAAACATTGTACCAAAAATATATATGGTAAACATTTGTTTATGTCGCAAAACTAAAAAAATAAAAAAGTACTCAAAAAGGGCCAAAACTCAGAAGGGTTAAATGCATGCAAATCGAAATACGAATACGAAAATCGAAATTGATTTCTTCAACGATGCATTGAAGTCGTAACTATGATAGTTAAGCTGTGAGTTATGTCATTGTACTTGAAACCCACCTGACAGTGTTACTGACAGACTGTGAAGAGGAGCTGCAACATCAAATATGTGAAAAATAATGTGTTTTTTTAGCCATCAACCATGTAAACCTATTCTAGTAGAGCCCAAAAAACTAAATCAAGACTAAATGAGCAGAAAATGGCCTCTTTAATAAAAATCCAGCACTGAAACTAAGTGAACAACCTGTGGTTCAAAGCATTATATATATTTGGTGTGGACGTATGAGTCTGCGTACCGTGAAGGGTCTTCAGCCAATGAGAACACTCCCCCAACACTGACCACATTCCTCCTGTTCTCGAATCCACCATAACTGAGGGTCACCTACGGAGGAAAGCACAGTAACACAAAAACTGTGAGAATCTCAATCATGAGAGGCATTATGGGATTGGAGTAGGCAGGTATTACATAAGTATGATATATATATATATCATATAGGTATGATATATATATATATATAGGTTACATAAGGTTACATATATATATATATATATAGGTTACATATAGGTTACATATATATATAGGTTACATATAGGTTACATATATATATATAGGTTACATATATATATAACCTACATATAGGTTACATATATATATATAGGTTACATATTACATAAGTATGATATATATATATATAGGGTGGGAGTGATCTGGGATCAAAGCCAAGCCCTCAATAAGTGCACTTGTTTTGGTGCTACAGTACTAACCCTGTAAAACCTGACCTACAAAATTATTGTAATTTTTTTCAAACGGTACAATTTATTGAGCCTTTCGACAACAAATCTTATTTAAAATTATAAAACGGTATACATCTTTATGATTCATATAGTACTCGAGTAGAAAGAAACGTCTCTAATTTTATTCAAAGAACCAAACTGAGCAAAATATACAGTTTGCTGCAGATGCTGATATTTATATGGATAAATTAGTAAGATGAAATTCTGATAGCTTGTAATGTAAATCAATGAGATCTTTATAATGTCTCTAACATAAAACATCTTTGTTTCTAACATAAAATGCATTTAAATATCAGGCGTCATTCTATATCTGCCAATAAAATGCCTCAGTATTAAGATGACATTTAAATGCTTAGTTTCTTGATCAAAGCTCTGTAGGTTTCAAAAATGTAATGCAATGCAATACAATGACGATTGAGAGATTAACAAATAAACACTGATCCAAGTGTGATGAACTGTGCAGAATCTCATATGGTCCATTGTTTCCGGAAGAAACACAAACACGAACCGTTTTCTTCTCTTCAATTGTACATGCAGCCAACTGTTCGCGCTCACCTTATCACCTTATTCACATCTCACCAGCGCACTTGGATCTGTGTTCGTAGATCGACTGGTAGAGACTATTTTTCAAAGATGGCTTCTTCATGTATTCGCGAAGTTGACTGTGTGTATAAAATATCTTCTTATTAAACTGTATGGACACTGACAAAGTTCTCAATGCTTCGGTTTGAATGTAGAGACCCTTATTATGCTACCGTGTTACTGTGGGGCTATTTTGAGCCTTTTTAGGGGTAATAACAAGCGATTTTTATTTGTCATTACTCTATGCTCTATATACTAGCGTTATAGGCTACACTGTTTTTAGAGATAAAACTGTTTACATTTGGCAATCATGAAAACAAATCTCAGATAACGGTTGACTAGGTAACAATGTGTAATTAGACCAAAGGTTCATTTTGCGCCGGAGTTTTCCTTTAATAACTTTTAAGCTCGACTGTGACGCTATTTTCTTCTGGAAACAAACTGTTGCATTAATTTCCTGTTATCTCTGTAAAGCTGCTTTGAATCAATCTGTATTGTAAAAAGCGCTATATTAATTAAAGCTGCGAGCAGCATTTAGCGGGGTTAAAGCATTTATAGCCTTTAAACACAGAAGCATTAAAGACATTAAGTTTTATTTAGCAAGCACTGACATAATAGATGGAAAAGACCATTAACAGCCAATACAGGCAATTTACCATAGGACATGATTATGTCCCATTTTCTCACCAATTCTCGTGAAGTTCTGAGTTTTAGTTTAGGATTTATAGGCTTTTGAGTGTATTTTGCCACGCCCATTTTATAAATTTTACTGTTATAGCCATCCAAATGCAAAAGTTCAATAATAATAAAGTTCGATAATTATTTATCTAGAGAGTCCAAAGAATTGTCTTAGATTGGTTTGGTTTCCGATCAGGCGAAAAACCTAGGACTAGTTCGCAAAAGAAGGTTTTGGAAAAAATTCAAGATGGCCGAAAATTACCTATGCTGAACATTTGTAAAAATCCCCACCCTTTTCCCCCAGGGTCCTCGCAGCGATCTGACCTGTTTGAGTATGCTGTCTGTAGGGAGTCTCTGGAGGTTCTCCAGGTGTGAGTGGAACAGGCCTGTGTGTGTCAGAGGAACTTCCAGCAACGCCTCGATGATGTAACCTACTGTACAGTCGTCCGGGAGGCGGATCTTCTCTGCGGTTGTGATGAAGTTTCCAAGACTGTGAGAGAGCAAGAAATTTAATTCAGTCTAAAAATAACGTACACCATAACATCTAAGACAGCTTATCGATTAGAATGTAAACCTGTGATTGAGGCCTATAAAAGATTTTTTACATGTATAATTACAAAGTTATGTTGTCTTGGTGTTGACATCAAAACTGTTGCATAGTAAGTCATGTGCTCGCTGAATAAAGCTGACAAGAATGCCGGAAGGTGTGTTTACATGCAAGTGTGTGTACCTTGCCCATGGACTCATTTTGAGCGCTAAGCCTCGGCTGATGCAGAATCCCGCTCCTCCAGTGGCAAACCAGAACTTCACGGACACCTGCAGAACACACGATTAATACACTTCCATTCAGACGTAGGATGTTTTTTTTTTTCAAAGAAATGTATATTTTTATTTAGCAAGGATGCATTAAATTGATCAAAACTGACAGTAAACCATTTCTGATGTTAAAAAAGATTCAAGTTAAAAATAAATGCTGTTCTTCTGAAGTTTCTATGAAAAAAAATTCCACAGATTCCACACAAATCTAAAGCAGTAAAACTGACAAATCAGCATATTTGGAATGATTTCTGAAGGATCATGTGAGAATGGAGACTGGAGTAATGAAGCTTTGAATCAATTACATTGTAAAAATATATTCAAATGGAAAACAGGTATTGTACATTGTAATAATATTTCACAATATTAGTTTTCACTGGATTTATGATCAAATAAATGCAGCCTTGGTGAGCAGAAGAGATTTCTTGCGAAAACATTAAAAAATCTTAGCGATGCCAAACTTTTCAAAAGGTACTGTATATATCAATCATGATAAAAATTTCACGAAAAAAAAAACACACGAATGATGAACATAATTTCATCACAGATTGAAGACAATAATTTTTTTAATAGTATAGCTCAGTCAAAATGTATCCGAGATCGTATTTTACTACAAGAATTACATTTTAGTAGTTTCTTCAAATTAAACTGGACATTTATTTTGACATTTTGTCATGAAGATTTTTTAGTTTTAGTTTCAATGTGTATTTGATGTTAGTTTTTCTCAAATTAGAGGTAAAAAGCTTGTGAAGTCACTCTCAGCAGCAACACCGGACACTTCATATATTGAGATGAGAGCCTGGTCGAGTTTTGCGTAGTAGACGAAACTACGGCACTCATTCACAGAGGCACACAGAACATTATCAACCTGACGTCGTCATACTCAGATTCTAGTCAGCATGTGAGTCTGATTCTACTCCATTGGGCTGTGATTATGGGGTGTTTCAACCGAATCTACACATCTAAGTTCTCCAGCGGCAGCCATTTTTTGTTGTAAACGAATTTTACCAAGCGCTCTTTGGTGACGTGAATGATTACAATACTGTTGATCATCTGTCCATCATCGTATAAAGCCCGCCCTGACAATTTGATTGGCCCGAACAGCTTTGGTTCGGGCATACTTGCTCCACAACGAATCAAGTCCAGAGACCGAACCTCCCATCCTCAAATGTTGTTGGCGGGGCTAAATATTATCAGCAGCTGTTGGCGAATTTATTTCTGCTGTGTGATAGGCTGTTAAATTAAAGTCCTTTTTTATTCACAATCTCCTTTTCGTCGACAAGCACAGCACTCATTTTCGCATCGCAACGTTAAATTATTGGCTGTTTGTCACCCGTAACACTTTATCAAGGCATATGATAGGCTGTTTATGATCAGGGACGGTGCACGCTTGAGGGTTGTTCATGTAACCAAACTTGTTATGTGGTTTCACATCTAATTACATTTTAATTTAATAATTTTTCGTTTTATCGAACATTTTTTCTAACGTTCTCGATAAAGGTATACCCTCGATAAATACCGATGCCGTTTTATCACCATCCAGTCAAAGCTCACCGATCCGTCGCTCTTGACCCTCTCGGCGGCCTCTATGGGGTGGTCCAGACTGGGTCGGCCCAGATACACATCTTGTGTGTGAGAGTAGGATGACAGCAGATCCAGCAAACTGGGCAGGATCACATAGTTATCATCATCTACGTGACAGAACCACCTGCAGAACACACACGGGGAAGACAGAAAGCACATGAAACCACTGATGATATCTTTACAAGGCTGTTAATTCACTAATGTTCAAAACCGTTCATTATGGGAGCATTATGAATTTTTAAATGCAATTGAAAAGTCTCTTCTGCTCACAGAGGCTGCATTTATTTGATTAAAAAACAGTAATATTGTGAAATACTATTATGAATTAAAATAACTATTCGAATATATTTTAAAATGTAATTTATTCCTGTGATCAAAGCTGAATTTTCAGCTTCATTACTCCAGTCTTCAGTGTCACATGATCCTTCAGAAGTCATTGTAATATGATGATTTGATGCTCAAGAAACATTTAAGATTATCATCACAGGCAGAGTTTCCATTACTCTTCAAACTGCGCAAATTGAAAATATTCCCATTGGAAACACGTCAATT